GCGCGACTTTGTTCCTGTCCGTCCTTGATTATGTTCGATGTGATAGTCCTAACCGTATTCTGTGATGTTGTTGAAAGCGTCTTGGTAATCGCTGTTTCTACGTCAATGATGATCTGCTCCACGTCTGGCTTGGTTGTAACCGCGTATCCTAGCCCCTTGTTGAGGTGTGTCAATTGTTCTTCCGTGAATGTGGTCGTCGATCGGTTTACAACCAACCCATCAATGTAGTGAACCCTCGGCGTCGTGGTGATGGTGGATGGGGTCTGCTCACCCGTTCGGTGTTTCGTCCGTCTCCGTTGAGACTCGTGTAGTAGTCTGTTTAGCTTCCTATCGCGCAGCTTTCGTTTCCTATCCGATTCGCACTCCTCTGCTACCTTCGCCCTAGACAACTCCTTGAATTTAATTGGATTCTCTTTGGCCAATTTGAGGTGTAGAGAATAACATTCCAAAATCTTCCAGTTTGCTATATAGCCGTCTGATGCTATCCTTGATGAACTCTGCTTCCATCCTCTTTACTACGCTGGGTGGGGTGGGTGTCCGTACCTTAATCCTATGGCTTATAAGTATAATCTTATATTTTTGGCATTTCTTCAGAAATACTACGTCCTTACGAAGCGATGCGATGGTTTTCTTCAATCCGATGAATTAATTTGGCTCCGACGGCTTGGTTGCCATGATGAATCCTGCGTTAGTTTGTTTACTAAAATGAGCTATGCCCATTTTGTTATGGCAAGTTTTGCTAATGAAATGCTCCTCGTGTTTATTAGTGAAATTCACATCAAAGGTTGATCAATTGCGCAGGAAATTAGTTTGGCACGGCATTTGTGACCAGCATACACCTTCCGGTCATATGAAACAGGTCATCTGTCCAAATCCGCCCATACAATTTTTTGTTTTGAATATCTGAATGGCAAAATAGTGAACTTTTCGTGAACGTTAACAGAAAAGAACTCACCAACACTGGGAGACCGTGAGCTCCTGCCCACCTGTGATAAAACCATCTCGCGGTTCGCCCATGGAGTGCGTGTAGGTGAGACGGTTTTATCACAGGTAGGCAGAAGCTCACGGTCAAGGTATGGAGGGTTTTTAGGTGTCAGATATTTTTTCCAAAAAAAATGTTCCACCCCCCGGGTTGACAAATCTTTAAATCGATTTATCTCCGTATATACGGCTTCCCAGAAAAACTTGAATTTCTGCTGTTTAAGTTTTTAAGCACCGTAAATAAAAATGTTTGTAGTGGTTGTACCACTACCTTAATCACTAAAAATGACAGTAAATCAAACGAAATCAAATTTTATCACCTTTAATTTAGCGTTAAAATGATTATTAGAACTTCATTGCAATCGGAAATATTTAAATTTTAGTAAACACATTTTTTTAAAGTGAAATTTAATTTTTTAGCTATATCTCGAAAACTTTCATACTGAGATTTTGTTGGACTGCATTTTTGGACTCAGCGCATGATTTTACATGGGAAATGACCATCAGCGCACAAATTTCAAATATGCTGTAAACTAGTGTTATCACCGATTGCCTGCGAAAAGCGATTTCCCTAACACAGATTTCAAAGTTGAGTTCCATCCGGTCTCAGTGGTGGTGTTCTCTAGTTCACAACGAAAGGCTCCCCGCAAGCAGATAGCTATCAAGGCTGGCCTCAACCGCTGATCGGATTCAGTTCCAATCACCGTGTGTGGTGGTGTCCGGTCGTCGGCATCAGCAGAAGCACAACGAAAGCCTGCCTGTAAGCAGCGAGCTACAGTCCACATGAGCATCTTTATTGATCGAAATCAGTAGCTCTTCGTGAGTCGCTGTGGGCCATCTATGCCAAGCAGGTCACCCTCATTCCAAACAACATACAGCCCACCAGCCTCATCTGAGTTTAACACCCTAATAGCTCAGCAATACTCAACCATCACGACAAATTGGTCCTTTTAAGGACCACCATAAATTTGTAAAAGAGTATTTTTTGGACATTTGTCGAGGTCATCAATCGGATGTCAGTTCTCATATCAAGATAGAGCTGGAATTAGGGCGTAACAGCTTTTGTAAACAATGACTTCTTTCGATGATGTCTTGAAAGTCAATGCTCGCCCACGCAAATCAACATCACCATCAGATAGGGTAAGACTTTCCCTATCCGACGCATGGGTTTGCTTGGGCGTGCCTTGAATTCCTCAAAACCATCGTGAGTTTACACAAGCTGTTACGCCTAATTCCAGCTAGGTATGTTCTTTTCGTCCTCTGAAAGAAACATGGGCCCAGGTCAGATTCCTATCGACTTGCTTTATTTTTTTGTTGAGGCTCCGCCACCATCAGCCCCTGGGTCTGCCTCTGCTGCGATGTCCTGCCGGATTCCAATCCAGGGCTTGCTTGCAGATTTCATTTCCGCCCCGTCAAAGTGTGTGGCCGACCTACCTCCACTTTCACTCTAGAATTTCTGTTGCTATCGGCTTCTGATGACATCGACGAGCTTGGCAATCGAGACCCAGTTTTAAGGCCACCAGACACGAATTATATACCGCAGCCAACGGTTGATGAAGACCTGCAGCTTCTGAGTGTTCTCGCTTTTTCGTAGTCAATGAATAACAAATAAAGGGACAGGATGATGCGGAGCAAGACAATATGGTCGATCTTCTCCTGTATTCGATTCAGGATAACTTTGCACAGAACTTTGAGAACAATACACAGTAACATGATGCCTCGCCAATTGTCACGCACAGTCAGATCCCCCTTCTTTGCGACCTTCACTAAGTCGCCCTGCATCCAGTCGGCCGGAAAAGTCGCGGTGTCCCAGATATTACAGAATAGTTGATGCAACATTAGAGCGGATACCATGAGGTCAGCTTTGAGCATCTTTGCTGATATGCGGAGTCTTGTTTGATTTCATGCTTCGGATAGCTGCTTCAATCTCCTGCAGTGATGGGGCCTCGGAATTGACGCGAGTAATGCGCCGCACCCTAGGCGGATCATGCCGAGATGTTGATGGCTGGTTGGCCGTCGAAACTTGAAGAAGTTGTTCGAAGTGTGTTGGCGAACCCACTGGGCAGACTCCGCCGGCTGTCAAGTGAGTCCCGGTTACACCCTTTGCGATTTGTGCGGTCGAGTATAAGTGGCAGTGGATTAACTGTCAAGAATAATGATTGGAACGGAAGGAAAGAGAGGCTGAAGATCATAAACAAAGTAAATTTATTGTGAAAAGAAATAAGATTTTGTTAATTGGAAAATTGTGAAATTTAATGAAAATTAAGGTTTCTTCCTGGTTAAATTTATAAAACTATTGTATCGAAAAGGTAACTGCTGAAATGTAAAATGAAGTGTATCTATTTAATTTAATCATTGTTGGAAACAGATTCGTACGTGGGAAGAAGTGGAAGAAAGCTAACCTTTAGGATTCGTGAAAATACCAAAATGTGAGTGTTTCTTTATATACCAAGCTAAAGCTAACAAAAAAAATAAAATTCCAGCTTTGAAGCTGCGCCAACCGGGCTGCTAGCAAAGAGGTGTTTTTGACCACGATACCGAAATACTTCCCCCAACAAAGTGCTCAAACCAGCGTTTCAGCTGGTCAGTGGGGTCGGTAAGCAACTGTCCAGTCGTGTCCTTCACTGGCATCCTCGGGTTCATCGTTGCTCCACTCAGGCGTCGTGAGATATCATAGAGGAGGCGTATATCGCCAGTATTTGCGGCTTTCTTCCCTTCGTCGGCCAGGGAGCTCACCCACGCTCGTTTTCTAGCCAAGCTGAAGTCTAAAACAAATAACATGAGGATTTTTAGAAGATCCATAATCACCAGGAGGTCTTTTGAATAATTTCTGAGCAGACTGGTATATTGAAAAATACTTGGGAGATGTGATTTGAATTGATGGGCAGTTGAAGATCTTCTAAAAGATGCTTGATCAAGCTGATGTCTAAAACAAATATCTTGGGATTTTCTGTTGGAGGTAGGGGTATTTTGAGTAATTTCTTATAGAATATCTAAGAGATGTGATTTGAAATGTTGGCCCACAACAGCCACCCACACTTCAAAGCATCAGATGAGTGCTTAGAGTGTCGGTTGCTTCAGCCGTTGTTGACATTTTTCATGCCTCCGGATAATCGAGTCCGACCTGTAGTCCCAGATAAAATGGTCATCTTCATCGATGGCACAACATAGAAAGACCTTGCATGGCCCTAGACGGTCAATTCGATTCATGCCTTGGAATCTTTTTTGAATAACTCTGATCAAATTGGTTGGATATATACCAAAAATGTGCAACGTCGTCAAATCTAGGACAGCAATTGAGCCCTCTGTGAATATTTCCTCAGATCAACCCTACGCATTTCACTTCTCATTTTGCAACGAGGTATGTAGGTATATACTTCCACGTAATCCGTTGCAACCCTTCCACCCATCCGCTCGGTATCAAGCCCGGTAATGCGCAAAAGTGTCAGCAAAATAGCAAAAATTGCCTTCCATTAAAGATAATGGAGCGAACCTGCGTTAGAACGACGTCAACGGCGACGAACAGGTCGCGCTTCGAGCTGTCACATCACACCGCCGCTGACTGACTGACAGAAAGGGGTCTTCTCACATGATGCCTCGCGAGCAAAGTGAAATTGGCGGCAAGACAGAATTGAAGATAATTTCCCAGGAAAATGACTTTCCCAGAATCACCATCATCTGCTGCTGCTGTTACCACTGCCGTCTTCCTGATGACTGTTTGCCTGCCTTCCAGAGCTTGTGCGAGTTAAGCTCGTTAGGCTCCCTTCACCGGTGGATGCGATTATCAAAATGGCCTTCGCTTTTTTACTCTGGCTTGGCTGACGGGCGCTCGGGTGTCTTCCGGATTAAATCGAGCAGCAAATTTCGGGCAGCCACCATCCGCTGGGGGATCGAATTACTTTACAGTGAAAGCAGTATGATGACGGCAGACTACTAAGTGGGGAATTAGCTCTATGGGGAGTTGGTGCTCGGTGAGGGGAAAGGGGGTTATATTAAATTTCCGCTGATGCAAAACTTACCTGAACGCCTCCCACGCCAATCACAAACAGCAGCTGACTCATGAAGAGCGACGCGAGCAGACTGAGCAGAGCCGTGCCTGCCAGCGATTTCAGGTCGGAAAACAAGCTGAAAAGAACAAACATGGAAAATGGTAGATGATGGATTAGATCCCGGTGACGAAGGTGGGTGGTGTGCAAGAAATGTGCTGTTTGTATTTGAAATAAGCGTATTGTTGTGAGAGTAAACATTTTCTTTTTAAATCGATTCAATCATCAGCTGCAAATCATCCAATGCATATCAAGCTTTTATCATGATGACGTTTACAGCGTGAACAGGACTGCAACGTGATTCCTTCTCACGTTGTTCAAATTCGCATGCAACCGTCTTGATTGGGAGCAGTTTTCCACCGCCTCCACGCATTCCCCACAAGTGCCTTGACTGAAAAGTGATAAACTTTCTCAAAATCCTTTCCCTTGCTACCCACCCACGCGGTGCAGCTGCATTCGAGAGATGGAATGGAGTCATCAAGTGGAAATTATTTATTGCATTAGCTCCCTCACTTTGAAAGAGGTTCATCGGATTGCTGCAGTGCATATCTGTGTTGTTGAAAACCCCCTCAAGGTGGGTGCAAACAGTGCACAACGCTGCAGAACCCGACTCAAATTGTGAATGTTCAATAGATTATGAAATACGTTTGTGACGGATCTTTCCATTATTGCCGTCTCAATGTAACTCAATTATTCATTTTACATTTGATGATGCAATATTCAACCTTTTTATTCCGGAGGGTTCAGTACTGCTGAGCTTCGATCAGGAAACGTTTCCCGATGGAAACTTACTGCAACATTTTCCACTGCTACTGATGCTTTTATACTACTAAAATATTTATCACAAATTTTTGCCACCTTTCAGCCTGGATACGGTCCGGTTTTACACCGCCACACACCGTTTGAATGTGAATTGAATCTCTTTATTGGAATAGGTGTTTAACTATGATCGTGTCATGATCAGTCCCGCTCCTGATTCGTCCATTGGTTCTAGCGCTTTACCAACCATCAACTATGCATCGCCCGCCTGTCACCTGAACACTCTGGGACGCATTGAAGTTAGCACTACGGAAGCCCCTTCTTCTCCCGCCACAGTCGAGTTAATCCAGTCATCGTCCTGCAGTCGTCCTGGACCTGTGTGTGGGCTTGGAGAAGGGGTCTTCCAACCCGCAACTCAAGGCAAGTATGTTCGTGTCATCACCAGTTCCGTTGCTTCCAGCGCTTCACCGCCTCAAGAGCAACAAACGGCTGGTTCGACTGAAACGTCATACTCCGATGGCTTCAAATCCCACATCACCGATGGGACATACAGCACTGCACCGGTTCTTGCTCGCCACGTTTTGGAACATCCCAGACCAGAACGCGCTGCCTGCTGCCTCAAGGAAGCCCCTGAGCCACTCAACCCAGTCGCGCTTGCTGATTCCTGTCGTCGTAGTCGTTATGGCCCTGTGGTTGAGAAGGGATCTTCCAACCTTCTACATCAGGCAAGTATGCGTTTGTTGGTAACAGTTCTTCTCCTGATTCGTCTCTGTGTTCCAGAGCACCACCATGCTCGTTTCGGCTGATCGATCATTCTGCAGACCTCCAACCGACTTCGTTCGACCGCCTGTTGGTGTATTACCAGAACGTTCGTGGCCTGCGAACAAAGATTGATGATTTTTTCCTGACTGCCGTTGACTCTGACTACGATTGCATAGTTCTTACGGAAACCTGGCTCGATGACCGCATTAATTCATCTCAATCATTTGGCAGTCTATTCACGGTATTTCGAAATGACCGCAACCACCAAAATAGTATCAAATCGCGTGGGGGAGGCGTCTTGATTGCGGTATCCAAACGCCTAAGCTCATGCATCGATTTTGCTCTAGTTTGCACTTCTCTAGACCTAGAGCAGCTGTGGGTCAAAATAACGACGCCTCGTAGATCAATAAGTATTGGTCTGATTCGAGCAGCATTGCAAACCACATCAGTTCGATTGGTACAGTGTTTTCTCGACTAGAACAAACCGACCTAGCTCTGGTATTTGGTGACTACAATCAGTCTGCGCTCTCTTGGAACGTTTCTGCAAACGATTTTCCTAGCATTGATGTTCTTCGCACGAACATGCCCGCATCCTGCTGGGCTCTCCTTGATGGTTTCAACCTGCATGGCTTAACGCAAATCAACTCGATACTGAATAGCAACTCTCGGCTGCTTGCTCTCGTTCTTGCGAACGAAGCTGCAGGACTGGAATGTTCTATTCTAGAAGCCCCAGAGCCTTTGATTGAGCTCGACTTTCGTAGAGCAGATTTCGTCGCGCTGAGTCACTCGCTTGCACAGGCAGATTGGCAGTTCTTTGACACGTGTTCATCTATTGATGAAGCCGTCAACTACTTCGCTGAGGTCGTTGGCCGGGCAGTAACTGAATCTGTCCCATTGAGGAGACCCTCTCCCAAACCCGCATGGTCCAATGCTTGACTACGGAATTTGAAACGTCTGAGATCGAAGGCCCTCCGCAAATACTGTCGTACTCGTAACCCATTCACCAAACCACAGACAAACAGACGTAACTCTTTGAAAAAGTTTTTCTTGAAAACATAGTATCTCAAAACATAGGACCTCAGTAGCGACATCTTTCAGGCTTCTCGCAGAAAACAAGCTTGCTCGCTAACTCGCAAACAATATTGCATAAAAGTTCTATAGAATGTATAGAAACGTCAAAGTGATCCGATGCCAGCGCTGCGGCGAGTAGTTCGCGGAACTGATAATATTCAAATCAACCGTTGAATGCGTGAACGAAGATACACAATGAAGAGTTACGTCTGTTTGTCTGTGACCAAACGATTATTTTCATCAGCGAGCAACGAATATCGCACATATAACCGCATTCTTTACAAGAGCTACACAAGGCGTGTGCAGGCTAATTTACGGCTTAATCCAAAGCAGTTCTGGTCATTCGTGAATACCAAACGAAACGAAGAGGGGCTACCAGTCGAAATTCACCTGGGTGATAGAATCGCCAGCAATTCCCTTGAGAAATGTAATCTTCTGGCAGAACATTTCAAAAGCATTTTCATGACATTACGGCTTCGTTGTCCCAAGTTGCTGAAGCAAGCGGTGAGGGACACTCCCATTTCATTTTTTCGATTACCTCGGTTACAGTAGACCTCGTCGAATCCGCCATCAAGAAGCTGAAATTTTCTAATGCTGCTGGCCCTGACGGGATCCCCTCAAGCATCCTGAAGCGATTCTGTTCAGAGCTTACAACACCGCTTTCGAAGCTGTTCAATATTTCATTACAGCAGGGGGAGTTCCCTACGCGTTGGAAATCGTCATTCATGTTCCCGATCGACAAGAAAGGAGACAAGAGAAATTATTATTATATTATTATTTAACTTTATTAATGAGGCTTTCAGCCTTGGGCTGGTTCGCCTCCAGCAAGAGAAATTACGTTTCTCCTGACCAACACGGTTCTTATCCCAAAAGATCAATTTTCAACAAATCTTGCTCCGTTCATTTCTTTATGTCTTCCTAGTATGGAAGCTGGAGCGCAGATGGACGTTGTATATACAGATCTTAAGGCTGCATTCGACCGGGTTGACCACTCCATACTGCTAGCTAAACTTGAAAAACTCGGTGTATCCTCGGGTTTAACTCGTTGGTTCAAGTCCTATCTAACCAATCGGGAACTTTGTTTTAGAAACGGATCATAGCAATCGGACTATTTTACAGAGAGCTCCGGTGTTCCTCTAGGTAGCAACTTGGGACCATTGCTATACTCGATTTTTGTGAATGAGGCCGGACTGATCCTCCCAACTGCTTGTCGATCGTTCTACGCGGATGATGTGAAGATCTATGTGATTGTTCGTAGTTTCGCCGATTGCTTGCGGCTTCTGCACCTAATCGATACGTTCGAAGACTGAAACAAGAAACAATCTCACGTTGAATGTACAAAAATGTAATGTTATCTCATTTCATCGCAAGCTGAAACCAGTGGCATTCAACTATACGATAAATCACCAACTTCTGCAACGTGTGGACAATGCTCGTGACCTAGGAATCACGCTGGACTGCGCCTTAACCAGAGCTTAAAATTATTGACTGCCTAGGCTGAGTGTGAAAGCACTGCACTATTCAATCCATTGCTCTGTGCAGACCGTTCGTACCAAACGGTAAAGGACGAGGCAATGAAAGAGCCAACAAAAACATTCAGTCACTCACGAGCATGTGGCGCACACCGCTTGCCTTCACTCACACAGCATGTAATTGAGTCATTTTTCCATAGAAAATGCACGCTCAGTCATTCAAAACAAATATTGGGTACCATCACAGAAGAATAAACGTGTTGACTGAGCTACTGACCGAGTGCTAGGCTGTCAGTGACTCGTTTACCTCTGAATCATTCAGACTCTCACGAGGCAGTGAATGATGAGGCAGATGGCAGTTCATATTCATGTCAAAATGACTCAATGAACCTGACTGTTTTGTGCACTGGCCTTAACATTCAAGCTTCATTACTCGGGCATCGTTACCAAAGCTAACAGGCAACTCCGGTTCATTTTCAAGATCGCCGACGAGTTTCGCGATCCTGCTTGTCTAAAAGCTCTATACTGCTCTCTAGTGCGATCGATCTTGGAATTCTGCTCGGTAGTATGGTGCCCGTATCAAGCAGTTTGGATAGCGAGGATTGAATCTGTTCATAGGAAATTTGTTCGATATGCCTTTCGTCACCTTCCTTGGAATGACCCTGTGAACCTTCCGCCGTACGAAGATCTTTGTCAATTCCTGGGTCTTGAAACACTAGAACATAGGCGGACGATTAGTTAGGCCGTGTTCGCAGCGAAAGTACTTATTGGTGATATCGACTCTCCAGGAGTCTTGGCTGAATTCGAAATCTACGCACCCGAACGAGTTCTTCGGTCGCGGAGTTTCCTGCATCTTGGACCTCGTGCTGCGAACTACAGCTTGCATGACCCAATACGGTTCATGTCCAGGCGTTTCAATGAGTTTTGCGAGTTGTTCGACTTTAACTGTGCAGCGGAAACCTTTCGTCACCGTATTCAACGCAGACTCCTGAGTGGTGGTGAGTAGCTGTCCATT